CGGCATATCGAATTGTTAAACTTATATCGTCGCAATCAGTCAACACGAGTTATGAAAACGCCGCGCCTATCATTGCGCGCGGCAGAGCGGCAAATTACGATTCTCTTGGCCGTCTACCGCAGGAGATAGGCTCACTCCGTCCTTCCTGACACCGTTTCGACTGATTGCGACGATATAAGTTTAACAATTCGATATGCCGTCATCGTTTTGCAGTTCACGTATGAAAAATATTCTATCTTCAGACATTGACCAATTGACACGCATAATGAATATAGTTGGAACGCCGAACGAGGAATTTCTGGCTAAAATTCAATCTGAAGAGGCGAGGAACTATATTAGGTGAGCTTAATTACTACTGATATTAGAATTAAGAAAGAATGTCCGCCTAGTGGATGCAGGAAGTGTACTGCGGTCGATATAGCACCTGTTAAATTGTTCCATCAACCCCATACGCGGTTGTCGTGGGTCCGACTTATGGTGACGCGCTTGAATTCACGTGATGATTGACTTCATCTGCGCGACATACGGACCAGGACCTAGTTGATTTGGTGCGAGAGCTCAGCCGTAACCCATGTGAACTCGCTAGGAAATACCAGTTTAGTTGAAGCTACTAGTTGAAGCTACTTCTCGTAGTACAGGTACTATGATTAAATTGATTAGAGGTTGCTAGGGTTTGTTTTTATGCTGGAATTAAAGAGTATTGAATCGCTCAAAGCCTTTTGAGTTTGTTATTTTATAGGAATCTTCCAAAAATGCCACGAAAAGACTTCAAGAAACTGTTTGCGACAGCCAGCCCCGCAGCTATTGATTTATTGGAGAAGATGCTCCAGCTCGATCCCGACTACAGGTGATAAAGCATTGTACTGGCTGTTATCTGGTCTTGATCCAGCTGTTTTCGTCTTTTTCCCTTTTCTTCTATTGTTTACCACCGCAAAACTCAATGTTTTCAACTTGCATAGGTTTATTAGTTATTTCTCTGCATTTGTTAGCCAGTTGAGGGATACTTCTATTCAGACCAACCGCTGCCGAGGCGATGGAGCACGAGTATTTGGCTGCCTATCATGATGCATCCGATGAGCCAACGTCGGAGGTGTTGGACTTGGATGAAGGTGTGGAGACGACAAATATAGATGAGTGGAGGAGATTGATATGGAACGAGATTGAGGATTTTGCGGTGCGTTTCCCCTCAGTTCGTTCGCCCAGGACGTTTTAGGAATTGTTGCGGGCCACCGTATCGGCCAGTTCACACCCTAATTACCCCTGAGACACAAATTATGTCTAATTTGAGAACTGAACTGCGCTGATTTTCGTTTTTACATCTCCTTTATAACCATTTTGGAGATGCACTCTCACTGTTTTCTTATCGTGTCTTTTCTAGCGGACTAATAGCGAAGATCACGCTCCTTTCTACATCACGTTCGATCAGCATAATAAATGTCCCTCTCTCACGCCTTTACCGCTGCCTCGATTCCCTGTAACGTCAAAAGGACATTCGGAAGAAGCCTAAACACGCAAAATTCTATCAACTGTGAGATATAGCCTCCGTCAGTCCACAAGATTAATAGGGTCGCAGTCACAATCTGTTACTAATTCAGCCTCTAGAAAATGCGTAGCAAGGAAGCTAGAGGTACGTGACTGCTCGATGTTGCCAGAGACTCGGTCTACCGTACGCCATACGGCCGCCCTATGCGCTTTGTTCGTTTTCGCTTTTCCCTGGATATAGTGGTCCGTAGGCTTAGACCCCGCCTCCTCTTCCATCGACCAAGTACGACCCCCTCCCCGTTGGGGAATCCCTAACAACAATGTGCCTCGAGGCAGAAGCCGCGCTCACAGACGATGGGTAATGGAGCATAAATGCGAAAGACAAGGGTAACAACTATCTTGAATAGTGAAAAAATAAGCAGAAAAAAACCCTTGCAAACTTCCTTATATTTAATCTAGGGCAGCCTCGACAATCACCTACAGGATCATGTGACACATTCAAATGGTTATAGTCCCAGTTTGTTACGGCCTCTTGAAGGCAGCGCCCGTCTTCATTTGATGTTCCTACGTCCTCCTTAGATATTGTAGCTTTTTCGACAAGGGTGGAGGATGTACTAATTCCGTAGCTCAAAAATACGAGACCGCGCCACCCGCTTGAGAAGAGGATGCCGCCTCGCCCACCTGGCTGCCATAACTGCTTTGGCTTAGCCCTTTGAAGGCTGAGCCCGCTTTCAAGAATAATGAGTTATGGAGCTCATATAATACGTGATCCAGTAGTGAAGAAAAAAGCAGAAAAAATCATGGAAAATGCCCTATATAGAACCCTATGCTGGCCAGGTGGGCGGGGCGGCCGACTCTTCACTAGCGAACGGCGCTATCCTCTCGCCTTTTGAGATGCAAAACTAGTACATACTGCATCCTCATAGGGAGGGCTATGATATCCAGAGAGGGCGCGGGAATATCAAATGAACGTGGGCGCTGCCTTCAACCTTCAATGACATCGCTTATCCTTGATACTCGAAATGGATACGTTTTTAGGCTCACAGAGACTTGGCTCCTCAGACACCCTCATCAACCATGGATGAGAGCTAGGTTAACAGTGACACCATTCGAAGTCCGTGTGCCAGCGGTTTGCTACACTAAGCTCATCTCCGTTCAAAGTAGGCGCCGATAATCTGCACAGCCTCGCCCCGACGCAGCATTAGCCGTTCTACTTCGTGCGACTATTGCCCATAACCATATTTTGCCAGATAAGTGTTCGTTTTTTGAGGTCTGATACATAGTCTACCGCACTGCGGATCCTGATTACGGTCCAGTTATTGTATTATTGTCCTCAACATTTACGATTTATATCAGATAACCTGTCAATCAATACTGATGTAGATTGTAGTAGGTTGTACAGCGTGACCCTGAACCCAGGATTTCTCGATTTTGGCGGTCGCCAGCCAATTCGCATGAATAGCCGGGAAGCACCATCAAGCTCGACGGGGGCATGGTGTAGTGGTAATGGTCTGCTTCGGCGAAACGTGCCGCGTCCCGATTTTGGAAGCGAGACGTTATTTTGCATGTTTGTAAGGAATATCTCTTTTTCAAGGTCTAGACAACACTCAAAGCGCGGCCAAAATGGGATGTCAAATTCGTGTTCAGGGAGCAAAACTACCCTTGAGGACAGGTTTTTCGCCAGATGTGTGGTTTTGACCTAACTTTGAAAGTGCGTACCAGTTGATCGAATGTGGTTCATCATATAATGTTGCTCACACGGCCAGTCTCTTGTCGATGCTTGTCTTTGGACGGAATTTACTTTTAGATATAAAGGAACTGGAGCAGTAATAAAATGAATACGCAAGAAGTGGCTAGACATGGCTCTGTGGGCAGAGGAGAATGCATGCTGAAAAGCTGAATAGGTGTGAATAATGGCAAACTGAAGCTAGTCAGGTCCGCTAGATGTTTGCAGTCATTTTCGGAAAAGTCAGGTCAAAAGGTGAATGGTTTGGTAGTTGCAGAAAACCTTAGCCTAGGCGTAGTTCGCCTCCATGAATACGAATATGGCACTCGCTCAGCGCGAAAACGCCTGCACTGCGCGCCAAGGGCACCTGTACATCCAAAAATTCTCCTAGATCATAAGGCACTAAGCGCGCCAGTAAGCGAGCGCTAACTGTTCTTTAGGCAAGCCAAGGAGAGCGCTAATGTGGTAGTGACGCCGCAATCACTTTTTGCCACGTTTGCACAAGAAGCAAAAAAGTAAAGCTGAGGAGCAGAGATCCGATCCCACCACCTCTTGCGTTAGGAAACGCGGTGGGAAAAGCTCCATAACTCCGTTCAGAGAATCACTTTGCAAATTTCGGAGGCAGATTCCAGATCAGCGTCCAAAACCACGTCCAGTGAGCTACATCTCATTACAAAGTGGGCGCACTTCGACCTGGGACGAGACGCTTCCTTTCTCAGCTAGAAAAACGTGATTCGCAAATAAAAAGTCGTCACCGAGGAAAGTAAACACGGGGCTGAGAGCAGAGAAGAGTCAGGTACAAGGGTTCAGGCTTGTCGCTGATTCATCCACCATAATTCTCTCACGTTTGTGTATCCTCATGCTCATCATGTCCTCTCTTTAATGGCCATCAACTAACTGACTGTTTACTATGTTTATCGTTCTGTAAAGATCTTGTTGTTAAGCCAAATGACTAGCGATACTTTTAGTGTTCTGTAGCGTTCCGTTACCATTCTGTAACTCTTTGTCATTGTTTTTTTTGGATTTGTTTTTCATTGTATTGTTATGGAAATCGAATGATAAAATGATCCAACAAAGTATTAAATGAATTCCGTGGCGGAGACAAAGGACCATTATTCGGACGTTTGAGCAGCTTCCACATCCGAGTTGTTCTCATCAACTAGATGAGGGGGCGTGGTTGCGTGCTTCATTTCAAGGCGCCTACGCTTTCGATGGAATGTTGCTGTCCCAGGGCAATAGCAGTCATATATATCATTGCGAGACAGGATGACAGTTATCTCATGTGGAAAAGTCTCTGCCGTTGATAATTCTTTCTGGGATGCGGCACGCATTCTACTTCCATTCAGAATCGTAGTGGCTTATTGAATGCGATGTGGCCTATACAATGACTTGCGGGGGCCAGCCGATGTACAAGTCAGTGTTTTATCCTCCCAGACGAATCTGGTACCAATTTACCGTCCCGGAGGGTAGAAGGTGGTTGGCCGGGCGGGGCTCGTCCTGGCATCTGACTCCCGGATCACGCGTGGTAAGCGTACCATTTGCCACTACACCGCCTTCGCCTTTCATATGGTAGTATCTCGCAAAAAACGCGTCTTACCCACGTTCAAGTCAATAATGCAGCCAAGACCTTATTTTTGGGATATGGACTGTGGATGGCCAAAAAGAAAAAAATGGGGAAAAAATCATAACCCTGATCTTGCCTTGATCGTTCCTTGCATGACCTGGCAAGGTAGGTTCAAAAGAAGAGCAAGACAGAAGCAAGGGTCGACATCCCCATCCATTTTGTTCCTCTTTGACCATGTAACTTTGGCATCGAAAATACTCGATGTTACGAGCTGTATCTTCCTTACTGATGCGCTAACGCTTCCAAAGCGTGAATGAGACAGCTCTCTGTCTGCGCCCATGCAACTGGTGGAGAAAGTGCGGCTGATGCGAATCACACGCTTTTAGGTCAGGCACCTGTGACGCGCCATGCAGCCAATTGCAGTGTTTAATTACAGTTGTTTGCACGCGTATTTACATAGAGCGTAACCTTCGGAGGCAGGTCGATGTTCAGGTCAGTGGTGTTGTCTTCCAAAACAACTCTGGTGCCATTTAAACGGCCTCAGAGAGATAAGCGCCAGTTCGTTGACATGTGCTGGAGTCGAACCATGGATTGTGTAGGACAACACTGGCGCCTGTTGCCGCGGCACTACTATATCCTTAAAGACAGCTCCCGCGATAAAAGTGTCATGGATAGTTGCTTTTCAATTACGAAACAGTAGCTGATAAGTAATTCTCCAAAGAAGAGAAAAAGCAAGAAGAGTTCTCAAGAACACCATAAACAAGATCGCTCCCTGTCAGTCACACAGCCCTGCGGTCATTGTGCAACCCCTGGCTCACAAATCCCTTTTTCGCATCTCCCAGTAATGGATATCATCCAATGCAAAAAAAGAATACGGAAAACAACAAAAACACGGAAGAAAAACTCTTGAAAAGGAAAATAAACTTTTAAAAACTCGGCGTCCGAATTAAGGGTTACGGTAGCGTGCATCTTTTAGTGTGTTTAGTGCGTCGAGCTTTTGCACCACGAAAATTGGGTCGCTCGTGATTTTTACGCGTTTTACCTTGCGAGATGGGATGAAGTTGACTGTATGTGCTGCTAATGAATAAAATGTAATAAAGGAAAGCAGAATTATTTATGGGCACGAGCGTGGTCAGCGAAAAGGACATGAATGCCGATTAATGCCCGCCGCCCCAACAAAGAACAACTGAGCGGCCCGTCGGAGGGCATCTAGCAAGTGAGGCGGTCCAACTGAGCGGGCGTTAGAACTAGAACTTTGAGGGCAGCTTGCTCCTCGCTCGTTGTGGAGTCGCGAGAGCGCGTTAGTTTCTAGCTTGGGCGGGGGCTGTCTTTAAGTATGTGCAGTGAGTAGAAAGTCGACTTTAGAGCGAGAGAGGAGGGAAATTTCGCACTTCCGACCCTTTTGCTAGTTCATTTTAACCGGCAGGTCTCACGTTGGAGAGACCAGTAAACTTTTGTGAATCTGCAAATCGACACAAGTGAGCCACTTTGGTGACAAGAATTAATAGGTGTTTAGAAGGGGCGGGCTTGCACAAGCTTCAGTGAGTACCATTTGATCTCTCCTCTCACCAAAACGAAGTGCGCTGAGAATGTCTGGCACTTGAATCTTGCATCCCTAGGAATAGAGGATAGTGGAAGGGTAGTCTTTTCAGACATGGAAAAGAGCGACTATTAGGCGGCCTCTTTTCTGAAGTTTTATTGGGCGAGCTTATGATGCTGTAAAGCTCAGTGTTTGCCGAACGCGGTAAATATGCTTAGTTCAGCATTTACTCATTTCTTTGAAATTTCATCCGAGTCCTTCATAGAGTCTAGACGGTCTTAGGCAACCATTACTCTTTACTACCATTTGTTTTCGAATTTAAGCGTAGGTAAGTACGTGTCCTGATTGAGGCTAACTGCTGTGCCCATATTCAGCTTTGTTTGTGATGACTGCCAGTGGATGCTTGAACTGTTTTTCAGGACAGTATCATCTCTCCTGGGAATGTTTGAAGAGTATTACTGGTTTTCAGGGACATTTTGAATTTCTCGTTAGCGAGCTAAGCCGGATTATTTTTCAAGGAGCTCGTTTACCTTTCTCAGAATTAATGATGCATATCCCGATAAATATCACTCAATGAGGATTGGACTCAGAGCTGCGGCTCGTTTTCTTGTTTGTTTCTTGAAACTGGTACAGTTGAAGGCATAAACTAGAATATAGAGTTACTGGTTTCCCTTATCATTGTTCAACCCTTCGAAAATTCGAAAACGCTTCCCTCCCTACATTTCACCGTTACCATGCTCGAGAAAATGGTTGTAACCACTTATGTAAATACCAGCCGGCTTTGCCGGCTGATGCCTGCACGCCTTCTTCTGAGGTAAAGAATGGATTTGCTGAGCCGGCTCCGTTGCACTTATCCTTCTCCTCACCGGCTTTTCTTTTATACAGATAGTCAATAATCTTTGACCAATATGTTCATACGAGTGCACTACATGATTCTTTTATATAGTGAGATTGTAAACAATCACACATTGCCTCAAAGTGATACTAAAAAACATGGATTTTATTCGCGACTCTGCTTGCGGTTGATCCTTCCTCTATTCACCTTATCGCTTTGATTGGCGCTTTTATTATCACACTCGTGATGAGTTTCTACTGAAACGCACTCTATGCTTCCCCTCCCGTACTCTCTTCCTCAGCGTAAATTCCACCGCGCCACATTATACCCTCCCCGCTCCACTTGTCGCGCCACGCCACTCCCCATCCCGCGGCGTGGCACGTGCTCAAACGTCCACCTGCCACGCGAGCAGCTCGTGCAATGGTTT